CGGAGATCCATTTATTTGCGTCGGACGGGGTGACAATGAAAGCCTCCGGGGATGTTTGGTCATCTTGGGCGTGGGCAGATAATGAGAATCTGGAGCCACCACGAACTTTCCTAAAAGTCCAGAGAATCTTTTTGAAAAAACGTTTTTAGATAAATCATAGTTTAAAATGTACATCAGAATACAATTTGTCATTATTTGTGGAGCAATAAAAGCTTTGAAAGCAGGAAAATGATAATTATTTTAATCAAATATTTGTATCTGCAATCAAATAGATATAAAAATTTTAGAGGCATAAAGCATTATTATTATTAAAGTAAGATAAATAGCTTTTTGGATCAATTAGATCATTAAAATCAATTACTTTAAAAATTGAACTGAATGTCAAAAGATTAATAATAAATACATAAAACTGTAGATCCACAATCGGTTGTTTAACAGCTAAAAATAATTTTAAAGAAAATCACGAGTTCAAAACTGTTGCCAGACTTCTTTTTCTCTTTACCTGTTGGAGGACCAGCTCGAATTTTGCATTCACAATCAAGCTGTTTGTTGTGTTGCCGTGTCTCGTTGGGGATTTCTTTCTTTTTTTTTGTCATCACCACCGTGCTTTACTTCTGCCCATTCTCCTTCTCAGCTTTCTTTCCCAGAGACATTTACAAAACATTTAAATGAGTACACAACACACTCCGGTGCCATTAACCGGCTGATTGTTCTGCAATGTGCTGGGGCCATCAATAAAACGGCCTAATGAGCCGCATCACGAGACACGGATCCCTTTGAAATCACCGAGAACAAAATTACAACTCGATTCGGGAATTAACGAAATAAAACGCTTTTTCACCGTGGAAGCGGTTGTGCATTGTCCGTGGAGGGAAAAAAGGAAAAGTAAGCGCCTGAAGTGATTTTTACGCGTGAATCTATTACGAGGCTTAAAAGGTCCTTTGTGTGTCCGCGCAGCAGCTTTTAAAATCCATTGAAAAGTCTTTTGAGCTTTTTTATATTCGGCACTGCTTTGAGACGGGAATGATATTTCAGTCATTTCACCGCCATCGGGCCATGATATTGTATTCACATGCGGCGTTTTGCATCCTCACCAAGCCGCCCGCCGGAGATATAAATAAACAAAATGAAAACATATTTCAGGAGTCAAAAGAGATGAATGAGTGATGGCTTTATTTTTTTGCTCCTCCACCGGTCAGGACGGGCAGTTGCCTAAATAAATGCAAAATTGAGATATCTCCGGCGAAATAGTTTTGTATAATTTTCATAAATATTTCTCCGAGCTCTTGGTTCGGCCGTTTCTCTTTTTTGCTGCTTTTCTCCGACCTTCTGCAGAGGAATCTCGACTCAGAGGCACTTCCTGAGTGGAGCCTCCTGAATCTTGTGTGGTCCTGTTGATGTCACTGAGCATAAATACACAACTTCAGAGCATGACTGACGGTGGTCCAGGAGAAAATAGAGACGTGCAAAGAGACGGTGGAGTGAAAGAAGGCTTAATGAACGCATTGTTTCGAACAATGGTCTAATTTATAGGGGCACAATAGGCACGATAATTCTATTAGAGCGTAATTTGCATATTACCTCTTTGCCGCATTGAGCATGTTTTTGGTAAATAAAATTTTTTATAACAGAAATAAAACTTTCTTAAAAAATTTCAATTATTGTTAAATTTTTCTCTAATTTAAAAAAAAATAGCTCATGCATTTGTGTAATAAATTTATTTTTTCACTTGGCGCCTCTCAATTTGGTGTCTCTAGTCGAACGTCTGTCAACCAGTGACGTTTCACTCTATTCACCGAAGGAATTCGCTGACTGGCTCTCTCATTACTTATGCAGCGCCGTGCTCCTTTGTTCATCTGCTCTTTCAGCTATAGCTGCTTCTGCCGAGCAAATGCACCAGATCAAAGCTGCTGCAAGCTTCTCTTCTCATCGCCAGATGTTGTTTCTCTGATTTGAACCTGCGGGCGTGCGGTTCTGCCTAATAATGCGTTTGCATCACAATTAAAACGCCGTCGGCACCGCTCTTTGCGCGCCTGCCAAATTACACGCGGCCCATATCAATTTCTGTTTGCGAGCCGCGCGATTAATTCGACTTAACTCACTGCTGATTTCACTTTTTGGCCGTGAAATGAGAATGCTGTCCGAGCTGAAGCAAAAAGCGTAACCGCAGAATTAACGCGGCAACTATGCTTGAGCTGTCCCGCGAATTACGCTGCAGCTTTGACAATGAGATGCTTCTATGCAAAAACGATTCAAATTTGTAATTCAATGTTCTAAAAAAAAGTTTGAAAGATTCTGAGTATTAATTGATAAATGTAAATTGATGTATATTTTACAAACTTAAAAATATATTTATTAATACAATCAATCTTACTAACAATTAGTTTAAAAAAAAATAATTTATTTGCTATGATTTTGAATAAGTAATGGTTAATAAATATTTTTTGTATTATAAATTTATATTTATTGATTAATTTGTGTATTGTCAACTTTTTTCCATAATTATTAATATAATTATCTAATTTTTTAATCTTAAAAGAAAAGGCAATTCAATTAAATATTTTATTGCTCTACATGAATTTGTTGGAAATTATGTATACCATGTATCCAATAAGTTCGTTGCTCGTCTGAGGTGGACATTGGTGGACATTATATAAGGAGCATTATGTTGTAATTTATTAAATTTGATTCTCACTGATTCTCACTATGGATTGAAAATACATTATGGAATTATAATAAATATGCTTATAATGATACCCAGATTTATTTTAATCTTTTTGGTAGTTCAAGATTCAAAGAATCGTTATGATAATTTAATGTAATAATTAATTACTTTCTGAGACTCTAATAATTGATAATTTCCTAATTGCTATTTTCTGCGTGTTCATAATTTTTGACTAAAAGAAGATTAAATTAAAAGCAAGGAAATTGATACTTTAGTGACAAAATGTTTTTTTTTTTTAAATTTTACATTAATATTTAACATTCATTATTCCACAAGGTTAATCAGTGGGAAACCTCTTAAGCTGTCTGCGCCTCGTTTATGAGCGGCGAACTGAAAATTGCGAGTGACAGAGGGAGAAACGTGGTCATGCAGGCGCAATTAGTGAATTACGAGCGCCATAATAAACTTATGCTGTTTGCTTCCAGGAATACGTTGTTTATGAATTCCTTCACGCGCCACCGTTGCAAACATGACATAATTATTTTCGCGATCGTAAAAACTAATGTTGCACGGTGCGGAAAAATGCGGCCGCCGTATAATTAAATCTATAATACGTCGCTCCGACTAAAATATCATTTTGCAACGGCAGCGGCGTCGGCGCCACAAGATCGATTATTCCGAGGTGAAATATGCTCGCGCGGCTCATTTGCATAGAATGGCCATTGAGAGCGAATCTCTCTTTTATTTATTTTTCCCCGTTCATTTATTGACACTCGCGCGTTCTTTTATTATGTGGGCACCGAGATTAATGGCGCACAAACGGCAATTCAGCATCCATGCGAACGGGGCTCGCTGCTTAATTTATTATTGTTGAGCTGCACCGCATGCAAACACTCTCATTATTTGCCGAGAGATCGAGCGGCAGCAATTTTTATTCCGGCACACAAACAATCGCACCAAACAGAACAATGATGAGGAATTGACACCTTAATATAAACCATTCCTCTTTCTTTTATGACTAAAATATAATTACAAAATAGTTACTGTTACAAAAAAAGACAAATCATAATTTTAAAATAGTAATTTAGTTAAAGTCATTATGCTTGAATGAAAAAAAAAATGAGAACAATGAAAATTAAAACGAATTGAGTTTTTTATTTCTGTTAATTTTTTCTTTTGGAAGTCAAATTTCACCCATAGCTTTGGCCTAATTTATTTTTTTTAGTCCTCACCTTTAAAAAATAAAATTTATTTAATATAATTTTTTATTCAATCATTGCAAGCAATTTATTATTAAAAAAAAGAACGACACCACCATTAGAAATTTGCTTGAAACTTTCTAGGGACGTCATAATTTCTTTTGCAAGAGGAACACTTTTATTATTATTGATAAATTGAAAAGCAAAACTACGGCCGATTATCGTCATTGATTGATCATTTAATCCGCACATCAAGTGTCCGCTCGGCGCCAAATTCGTCGGCACAGCTCTCTTTATAAGGGATAAGTACTAATACGTGCGAGCTTTCGATTTATCCTGCGCGAACATAATTTTCCGCTCAGTCAACTTTTTCTCTCTCACTTGCGACTGATCCACGTTTTTACACGTATTTTCGCCGTAAAAAGCGGCGGTTTTGATTCTACAAAAGAGGCGTACAATCTTGATTTTACGCTGCAGCCGAGCGTGCCAAATTCACCAAGGCTTTTTTGTGTGAAAACCGGCGCTTGTGTGTGAATTTTATCAAAAAGAGTACACATTACTTTGAAGTTATGAAAGCGATAGAAGAAGTACTTCTCAGATAGTCATAAGAATTTTAATTTTAGTAATATTTATTTTGAACCCACGTCATTAAATAATTCTGATTCAATTGCGTATAATTACTATAATTACTAATAACTTCAATAGATGATTTTGTAATTAAAAATATTGATTATTTGCTGTGGTAGGCTATCAAATCAAGAGCGATTAAGATATATTATATTTAGTAATATTATTAAAAAAAAGCCTGAGCAAGAAGTTATCAAGTATAAAAAAGGCAAATGAAGAAAAAAAAATAAAAATTTCTTATATTGTAGAGTATTTGTGAATTATACGTTTGATACTTTCATTTATAACCCTTACATAATTAAAACCTTATTTTGATATTATGCCATTTGTTGATATGACATTTATCTTCTTATCATTTTTTTTGTGTGAACTCCTCATTGCTAACCACACAGAAACCATAATTTGTAAAAAGGAAGCTTTGAGGTTTCTGAAGTTTGATAACAACCTATGGTATAAATTGTTGGCCACTTTCGACAGCACAGCTGATGTTTATAAAGAATAAAGCTTTACTTAAAGTAAAACAGTTCACTCTTCACTTTGGCAATGCGAGGCTCTTTAAAACTATTTCTCCAAGCGGTAAGTGGCGTCTTATTTCTAGGACCGCTAGCTATTGGTAAATATAAAAATTATAAAATAAAAATCTCAGCCAGCTTAATACGATTTATTGCAGGTCAAAGCTGGGGAGGCTGTCATCAGTGTCCCGCTAACGAGACTTTGTATTATAAAAATCCCAGCCATAGTTTAGCAATTCAAACTTTCCCTTGCTGTTGCCCATCTACAAGGATCAAAATTCAGCTTCATTATTCCCCTTACAGTCATGCATTGGTGTTGTACGACGAAACAAGTGAGAAAATTGAAATACTAATTTGTAAATTTTTTTGAAGATCTTTAAAATATAAATTAAAAAGGTGGTGGATTAATATGCCGTCAAGACACAATTAAAGAGTGCGTGGACAGATGTGGGAACTTCAGGACCAGACATTGTGGCTGCGACTCAGGAAGAAAATGCGTTTCTGCCATCCGAAGGCAGACTTGCAATTTATTTTTAGAAACGCCAATTGCGGAAATGGAAATCAGTTTCGGTAAATTTTGGAGGATTAAATCAATCAACCTTAAAATACTTTGTATATATTCAGGTGCAGAACATTCCGACCCAAGGAATTGCCCAACTGATTTTTCACGATGCCACCGATGCGAAAATTTTCCGTCAAATGAATGCTATTTGCTTAACGTTTCAAAGATACATTAAAATTGGATGCAGCGCTGCTGGCTTTCTTGAATTATATAACCCATCCAGTAAGTTGAATAAATTACGCAAATAATTAATATTAAAAAAATTCTAATCACTGCATTAATTAAACAGCGGGAATCCCTTACTGCCCGGCTTCCTTTACGTCATTAGACCATTCGTCCATTCAATCTAGCAAAAGGACGTGGTGCAAGCAGTTGGGTCTTGATGGCACCAAACCTGAATCAACGACATTTTCATCCACAGTGCCAGTTTTTGGAGAAACAACAACTCCTATAGAATCTACCCTATCAAGCCATCAAACCAGTGATGATTTAAAAACGACCACTACTGCTAATCTTGCAGATTCAGATTCTACAGAACCAAGCTCGAACCAAGCATCAACCAAGTCCTCCAGTTTCAAATTCAGCAGCACTGAAATAATCGTTGGTGGTGGTTTAGCTTTGTTGTTGCTTGTCGTCGGAATCGCTGCCTGGTGGATTATCAAAAGGCGAAAAGCTCCCGCGGAAATCAATGAATTTGAACTTGAGGAGATTAATGAACTGTATGGAGTCTTGCCAAATAATAAAATTAAAAATGAAGCACTCCCAGATGACGTCATGATTGAAAATGATATGTATGGTGTCTTGTCAAGTGCAGAAAGAAAATAGATATTTGTATTTGTTAATTTGTAATTAATTATTTTTCTTTGCATTTAAACATTTTTAACATATTCCAAAAATATAATCCATTAAACACAATTTTTATTATACTGAAATCCATAATAAATACTCAAACTGCATGAGTTGCAAATGAAAGTAATATATACAGATTTCTGAGAGGGAAAAATATTTTATCGGAAGCGAACCTTGAACGCGATTCGTGTTGGTATTTTAAATAATGGCGTCTGAAAAAGGAGTCGGTTTGACAGTTATGATGATGAAAATTGAGTCGATTGGAAACTGGTGCGTGTCCCAAGGCGGCAAATAAATCACGCCACGCTCTCGGCGGCTTAATTTCTAATATTTATTTATTTACTGCCACCGCGGCGCGATCCGTGTATTTACGCTGCATAAACATGCGCTTTTCACTCTCTCGTGGCCGCTTTTTGCATTCACGCGCATTTTTCAGCGACGAGTTTCGATTACGCGCGCGATGTTATTATTTCTTGACAGAATATTAAAATAATATTACGCGAGAGAGAAACCCGTGACGCCGATGCTGACGCTGATAACAGGCAATAAATCAATCACGAATTGGTTCAAAACACACGGCAGCTGCGCTCTCTCGATATTATTAGAGGCTCATTTTTATGTGCGCTTTTTCTCCAGGTTCGATCCAGAAAGTGAAGCATCTTTTCTCTCTCCTCGTTTTATTTTTGATGCATTATTTATGAGGCGAACCGCGGGATGCGCTAACAATTTAAGTGCGAAAAACAGTCTTTTAATTAGCCACCTCGTTATAGCATTTTCCCGATCGATGATGAGAGCATGTCAATGAAAAGAACGGTTTTTTTCCATGGAAATTTAATCAACACGCAGAGCAGAAGACCGATGAAAAATATTTTCTTATCACATTTGAGCTTAAAATGTCTTTAATTTTATACGACGGAAAACAAACCGAGCAAAATATTGAATCGCACTTAACTAAAATAAGATAAATTATAAAAATTAATTATAATTAAATATTGGGGGATTTTCACATTCTAAGATAGTACCAGCAATTTTTTTGAGCTAATATAGCATTAAAACATTCTTTATAATCTTTTAGTTAAGAATCTAATGGTTATTAATTAAATTTAAAATTACTTTTTATGTTAAATATATTAAATTTAATTAATACATTTATTTTTTTAATTAAAATATATTTAGATTTTATTCAGAGTAAAAAATTGATTACTGGTTTCTTTTAACAAAATTTTTTTTCTATACAAATTACAAAAATATAAATTAAAATTGCCATCAAATTATTGAAAAATTCTGTATAATATTTCCATATAGTTAAAAAATTGTTATTCTCAATTCGAAACGATGCAATAAATTCAAATAAACCAAATTTGAACAAATTTGAATTGAAATTCACCAAACAAATGAAAACAATTGTAGGCCCATTCTGGATTGATTCTTGAATTTTAGAATTATTGAGCAAAATATATTGTGACCATTTAAAAAAAATCATATTTATTTATTTTCACCATTTCCATAGTTTAATATTGATTAAAATTTTTGAATTAAAAATCTGAATTATATTAATAACCAAAAATAATAATTATTCATAATGCATTGCAAATTAATTAACTACCTATGGCTGCTACAAGTTAAAATTTACAAGATTCCTTTTATTCTGCTGGAGCCAGCATAGCATTAAGGCCACTCTTCTCCGGTGGCTGCTTTTAGTTTTTCGTATGTAATAATTAAATTCATAATTGAATCGAGCAAATCGTGAGTGGTCAGTCTGGCCGCGGCGAGTCTTTCCTCTGATATAAACTATACTATTACTATACTGCCGGGTTGTTGCCGTAGCGCGTACGTACGATTGTACGTAATTTGAGATGTCGCGAGTTTCCCATGGAGCGAGCGAGTGCAGCATAAATTTCGTGGAAGAGAAGCGCGGCTCTTTTTTCCTCTCGCCGCGGCCGGCCGGCCGGCACGTGAGCCGACTCGGCAATCAACCCGCGCGCCGACGGTTTGCATTTTCGCACGACTCATTTCTGAAACTTTGTGAAAACCCGTCGTATTCACCTCTCGTCCACTTCCGAGCCTGTTTACCAAACATTATTATTTTTATATGCGCGTACCACCAGCAGCTCTCGCTCTCGTCACAATGCATTTATTATTTAGACGCGGGTAGAAAAGATATCGAGACAAAAAAACACGACCGTCCTCTTTTTGCTACTTCTGATTGCCTTATTTCCGCGTCTAAAAGCCTTAATCAAATTAATAAATAACAAGAAATTTTTTAGAAATCCAATAAAAACAACATTCTTTACTCAACTTTCATTAAATTAATCTATTTAATTACTCGACAAGTTTATTGATATGGATTTGGTTGCAGTAAAATACCAAAATCTGAATATTACATGACATAATATAAATTAAATTAATTATCATGCTTTTTAAAATAATTTGACTTTATTAATTGGATTTTTATAGGTGTTTATTACAATAATTTTTAATTCATTTAATATAACTTATATTTTTACATATTTTTATTATAAACAAAAATTAATTGTATATTTTTAAGTCACTTGAATTAAAATTTGTTAAACAAATTCAGAATTTATTTATTATAATATTGAAGTGCCACAGTATAATTAATAAAAAAATTAAAATATTTCTTAAAGTATGCAACACGAAATTCTTTAATATCTGTAACCTGATTTATTTAATCTTATAATTCATTATAATATCCTTGACACAGACAAAATTATGCAAGATTCAATATTCAAGTTGCTCAAATAGAGAAAAATTTTGTTCATGTTTTTTTGCTGCATGTATTGATAAGTCAAACAATGTTACTTTAAAGATATAAAAGAAAAAAATTCTGTTTACGCGGAAATGCATTAATTTATTGATAGGAAACTCAACTGAAACACTCGAAAATGAACGCCATAGCATGGCAAATAAATCGTGACAGCATCTTATAAATGAGCGAGCGAGCGGCCGAAAAATTTCACCCGGCGAGCGAGGATAACTTTTACAATAAGAGATACAGTTTTTATTTAATTTATTTCGGCTGGACGGGTGTATGTTTGCGAGAGAGCGACGAGAGCGTATTTGGAAAACAAGCGCTCTGATATCTGGACGGAGACCGGCCTGCTATCTCATTGTCAGATGGCCGTGTTTTTGTCCGGCACTTTATTTGTGTGCTTTGCCGTAAAGTATCGGCCACTTGACTGGTTTGGTTTCTCTCTCTCTTGCTCCGTTCCCAAAGCAGCTAGCAACATCGATATCGCCGCAGATAACGCTGCGTGTAATTGAATTACTCGCTCTCCCCTGATGCTCCATTTATCAACGGTTTTATCCGCCGGCCAAAGAGCGCAAAAGTCAGCACCGAGAATTAAATGCACGTCAGCTGCGCGCGTGCAGAAATGTGCCCTGTTCACTTTGCACTCGTCTAAAAATACACTTTCTTGCAATTCTGCACACACTCGGAATCAAATTGAATTAATGCAATGAGTTTCCGCAAGATCGATAAGAAAGAATAATATTAATTTATTTGAAAAAGTTTTAATTTCTTGTCAGCTTTTACTGATACAAAATTCAGGTGTATTTGAAGTGCCAAAAGATTTTATTGATTAATCTAAAAATTCAATATATGAATTACAAATCACTTAAATATCTCGCAAAAGGTGCATGTTCCAGATTTTATTGAAGGTTTTTAATAAATCTGTGTGATACCCCGATATTGTTGCCGCATTAATTGATTGCTTTATGTTTATGCTTTTAAAACAATTAAAAGTGCGGGGAAATATTGAACTTCATGACTGCTGCATACTTATAAGAAGTTTTGATGGTGATGTGAATTCAAATCACAAATAAGGATTAAAAATGGAAAAAATAATTATATTTGGAATTGTGAAAATTTTATAAATAAGATTTTGCACTGAAAATAGGGAAATTTAATTAATGTGGTTAAACTTAAATTTTGGTTACAATTGAAAAATTGATTTTTCCACCTAAGTCATCAAAAGCATTACAGCTCCATGCTATAAAATCTATTCAAAAGCTCAGTTGCAGGGACTTTGACAGTCTGGTTTAATTAATCACTCTTCGGCTTCTATAAATGTTTTTTCTCCTTAAAAATTAAGATACATATTATTGACCAAAACATAGAAGGCTGAGGATTTCTCCACTTCATACAAAAATCTTTTTTCCTTTGCCCCGGAAATCCGAGATGTACCAGGGATTAAAATAAAAATATTTAATAAAACTATTTTATAATTACTGTTTTTTGCAATTTATAAATCAAATCAGTCAATTTGAAATGTCATAATAAATCGACCTACACTGCCCAACCATACCTCAAAGAGACCGAAGAGGATCCACTTTCAGAACCAATACGCTCTGAAGTGTTTGATGCGCAGCAGCTAATCCAGAGCAAATATTTGCTGCACATAAATGGGTGCTCAAACAACAATGGTTGTGCGCAGTGCGTTTAATTTTTTGTTCCTTTTTGTGAGGGCGGCCATCTCGAGCAGTGGTCGATGGCAAACAAATTAGTGCAAATTAGTGGAGGCAAACAGCGAGTGGCGGGCGAGGGCGTGGGATTCGGACATCGCGCCCGGTCCCACACTTTTCTCACACGCCATGAGCCACCGGCCGAACAATAATGTGTGTCTTTTCGTCGCCCACTTTCGGCTAAAGTCACTGGGACGCGCGCGTTGCCGGCAATAAAATCACTTGAAATCGAGTTTGAGCGTTTTATGGAGCAAACGAGCGTTGCGAAAAGAGCACTTTGCGATGCTGCTTCTGTTAAAAGTAGACAGACTAGGGGTGTGTAAAATATGACCGAGCGAATTATTGTTCCGAGTTGAGTGTTGAGAAACTGTTAAGTGAGATTCAATTGTCTCTTTGTCACGGTGAAAATTGTCACAACTTCTGCAGCAGCTACATAAACTTTGTAATTTACAATTTTATTACTTCACCATTTTCGCTGCTGGAAAAATTGTGTTTCATCTCGGCAGAAGTTATAAAGTCTTTCATTTTAAGTGGTATGGTCGAGATATTTTGACAGAGATTTTTCATAAAACAATTCGTGTCA